CCTCCCTTTATTCCCTGCTGCTGTTGCTGCTGCTGCTGCTGCTGCAGCACGACGAGGGCCTGGTGGTTTTCGGGGCCTCAAGACACCTCGTTGGAGTCGACTGCATGCGGTGCTCCGCTAGAGGCAGGCAAGCAGCAGCAGCAGCAGCAGCAGCAGCAGCAGCAAATTCAGCAGCAGCAACAGCAGCAGTAGTACAGCTAGATTGCCGCCCCAGCAGCAGCTGCAGCAGCACTACCCCGCGGTGCAGCCGCAGCAGCAGCAGCAGCAGCAGCAGCAGCAGCGTCTGAGTGAGTTGTGTCTCTTTGCTGCTGCAGAGACACAGCTGAGTTCCTGCAGCAAATGAAAAGCCACTGTACCCAAAAGGACTGGGCCTACGTCATGGGGGCCCACTTGAAGGAGCAGCAGCTCAGAAGATTCATGAGGTCCGAAACAAGTATCCAGGAGGGCCCCCAAAGGGGGCCCCCAGGGGGCCCCCCACAAAGGGGCCTCCAGGGGGGCCCCCACAGAGGGACCCCTATTGGGGCCCTCATAGATGGGCCCCGTAGAGACGCTTCTATTTATTTAGGAGGGTTTTTGACTGTGGCATTCTGCTGCTGCTGCTGCTGCTGCTGCTGCAGGGTCTGGACTGTGAAGGAGGCCTTCGTCAAAGCACTGGGCACAGGTAATTCAAGCCCTTACAAAGCAGCTGGGGGCCCCCCTAGGGGCCCCCGGAGGGCCCCCTTAGGGGCCCCCTTTCAATATGTTTTTTTATTTTTTTTATTTCTCAGGAATTTACATCGAGCCCGAGCGGCTGCAGTGCTTCTTCCCCGCTGTGGGGCCCCCCAGCATAGCTTTAGATGGGGCCCCCCAAACGGTGGGTCTGGGGGCCCTTTGAGGGCCCCAAACCCTTTTTTTGAAATTGTTTTTTGGGGATTAAATGTCAATAAATAGATTTTCTTTTTCTCTTTTTGGCTGCACTTTCTAAAGAAAATTCAAATGCCACTTCTTGTTTAAAGCTGCAACTTCAATTTAGTCTCTAATGTTTTAATAACCAAAAGACCCAGGGGACCCTTGGGGGCCTCCAGGGGCCCCCAGGGACTCTGCAGGGCCTCCAGGGGGCCTTCCGGGGCCCTTTTGTGCCCTCTAGAGGCCCCGGGGCCTCCAGGGGCCCCTTGGGGCCCCTACAGGGCCCCCAAGGAGCGCTGTTGGAGGCCCTTTGGGGGCCCTCCCAGGGGGCCTCGTTAGGTCCCTAGGGGCCCCTAAAGGGCCTTTTCGGGGCCCTTTTTGGGGAACTTCGGGGGAACATTTGGGGCCTCTGGGGGCCCCCTGGGGGCCCCTGAGAGAGCTGCGCATGGGGGGCCCCATTTTTTGTTTTTTATTTGTTTAGGATTTTTATTTTCGACTTGAAGAAGAAGAGGCCCCTGGATATATTATTTGTGTTTGTGTGGGGCCCCCCAGCAGGGCCATTGAGGCCTACAAGAAGTGCATGCAAAGGGTGGGTCTTAAAGGACTTTTTGTCTTTTGCATCTTTTTTTTAATTCCATTTTATTTCGTTTTTTGGACTTTTTTGGATTTTTTTCTTTTTATATTTGTGCAGCACTAATGCAAAACCCTAAAAAGTCTTTTTTCTTTTTATTGTCTCAAAATTAAATCCAAAATGTCTAATTTGATACTTTCAAACAAATCCATTAGAGCTCTAGGGGCCCATTGGGGGCCCCTGGGGAGCTATGAAGGGCCCCCGGGGGCCTTCATAGCTCCCCAGCTATGAAGGGCCCCCGGGGGCCCCCTAGTGGCCTCTGAGGGTTCCCTAGGGGTTCCTGGGGGCCCCCGAAGGGCCCCTGGGGGTTTGGGGGCCCCTGGGGGCCCCTTGGAGGCTTGAGTTTCATGACATCTTTTGCGGGTTTTTGGGTTTTTGTTTTAGGATCCCGAAGAAGAAGAGGGGGCCCCCATAACAACAACCCCACCTTCTGACGCGTGGGCCTTTAGGGGTTTCTCTTTTGCTGAATTTGTTGCAGCAGCAGACGCAGCAATACAGCGCTGGAGCACCTAGCAGCACAGCAGCAGCAGCAGCAGCAGCAGAAGCAGCTGCTGCTGCTGCTGCTGCAACTAAGATTTTTGTTCTTTGCGAGGGGGGCCCCAGTTGGATGGGGAGGCCCCAAGGCAAGCTAGCCCCAAGCTAGGGGGCCCCCTGTATTTCTGAAAGTAAAAGAGGGTACAGGGGGCCCCCCGGGGGCCCCTAGGGGGCCCTTTGGGCCCCTTAAAAGCAGGGGCCCCCAGGGGCCCCTAAAGCTCGGGGCTCCCCGTGGGGTGTCTAGACAGCTGGAAAACACTGCGAACTCGTTTGCACTTTTTTTAGTTCATTTTATTATCCTTTTAGTGTTTATTTTATTAGATTTTAGAGTTTATTTTATCATTTTCTTTAGCATTTATTTTTATTTTTTCATTGGTTTTAATTTTATTTTTTTTACTTTTGATGTGCCGATGAGCTGCTGCCTTCGACCTGCACTCGTGCTGCCTTCAAGCCTACACATGCTGCTGCACCAGCCGCAGCAGCAGCAGCAGCAG